CCTCTGTTTCAATTTTTCAGAATAGTTTGAAAGGATTGGCATTAATTCTCCTTTAAAGGTTTGGCAGAATTCAGCAGTAAAGCCATCCAGTCCCGGGCTTTTCTTTTTTGGGAGATTGATTCCTGCTTCAATCTCATTGCTTGTTATTGGTCTGTTCAGGTTTTGTATTTCTTCTTGGTTCAGTCTTGGTAGTTTGTATGGTCCACATATTTATCCATTTCCTCCAGACTTTCAAATTTGTTGGTGTATAGTTGTTCAGAATAGTCTCTAATGATTCTTTGTATTTCTGTGTATTGTATTCTTTGTATTCTTTATATTGGTTGTGATGTCTCCTTTTTCATTTCTTTTTTTTTAATTTATTTTATTTATTGAATCAAAATTGATTATATTTTTGGGGTTCAACATTGAGATATGTTGATCAAATCAATATTACTAGCATATATATTGTTACAAATCATAATTATTCTTTATACTGCTTGTCCAATCTATCCCCCTCCCCTTCTCCCTCCCCCCTCCCCACTCTAATTACCCTAGATTTCTTCTCTCCTTCTGAAAGAATAATGGTTACTCTGTTGATTTAATAGAAAATCTTTTTTTTTTTTCTCCTTCTGAAAGAATAATGGTTACTCTGTTGATTTGTTGCCTAGATGCTCTGTCCAATGCTGATAGGTATGATCAGGTCCCCCAATATTATAATAGAACAGAAGCTTCTTCTGTCACTCTAAAATGGACTTTTTGGAGAGAGACATCCTCTTTTCTTTATCTCTGCTGGTGACTCTCAATGCACTCCAGTGGTTGGCAGACCATCTGCGTGGTGATGGTGTCTAGACGCTTTTGCAGCCATGGTTATTGTGGTGGCTGTGGTGCACCACCCAAAGGGAGGTGATGTTTTTGGCATGCTACTTGGTGCTGGCAGTGTGCCTGGTTGTGAGGTGTGTCTGGTCCCAGGCTCCATACCTTGGGTCCCCAGGTAAGCCACAAGGTGCTTGCGTGGTGTGGCTGGTTGAAGGAGGGGGGGTCTGGTCCCCAGATCCAGGACCCAGACACCTGGGTGAGGCCCTGAGGTGTTGGTGGTGTGCCTGGATGTGGGAGTGGGGTCTGGTCACCTTCTCAATGCCTCGGGTCCCCGGGCAGGCCCTAAGATGCTGGTGCAGTGTGCCTTTCATTTCTGATTTGTGTTACTTAAGTCTTCTCTCTTCTTTAGTTAGTCTAGCTAATTGTTTGTCTATTTTGTTTATCTTCTCAAGAAACCAACTTTTTGTTGGTCTTTTGTATCATTTTTTGGTCTCTGTTTCATATAGTTTTGCTCTGATCTTAATTATTTTTTTCTGTCTACTAATTTTGGGATTGGATTGTTCTTGTTTTTCTAGTTCTTTGAGGTGTAATGTTAGGTCGTTTATTTGAAGTCTTTCTATTCTTTTGATGTAATCATTTATTGCAATAAACTTTCCTCTTAGTGCTGCTTTTGCAATATCTTATAGGTTTTGATAAGTTGTGCTTGTATTTTCACTCACTTCAAGGAATTTTTTGATTTCCTGCTTTATTTCTTCTTTGACCCATTGATTGTTCAAAAGTTTGTTGTTTAATTTCCATATATTTGTATAGTTTCCAAAGTTTTGTTGTTAATTTCTAACTTAAATCCATTGTGGTCTGAAAATATACTTGGTATGATTTCAGTCTTTTTAAATTTGTTGAGACTTACTTCATGGCCTAACATGTGGTCTATCCTGGAAAATGATCCATGTGCTGATAAGAACATATATTCTACAGCTGTAGGATGAAATGTTCTGTAGATGTCTGAGTCCATTTTGTCTAAAGTGCTGTTTAAATTTAATATTTGCTAATCTTTTTGTCTAGATGATCGGGCCATTGCTGAGAGTGGTGTGTTAAAGTCCCCAAATATTATTATTTTGGGGTCTATCTCTCCCTTTAGATCCAATAACAATTGTGTTATCTATACAGATGCTCTGATGTTGTGTGCGTATGTATTTATGATTATTACATCCTCTTGCTGCATTGATCCTTTTATCAAAGGACTTATATATTTGTGCACCAATGTTCATAGCAGCATTATTGACAACAGCCAAAAGGTAAAAGCAACCCAGGTGTTTATCTACAGATAAATGGATAAACAAAATGTGTTATATACATGCAATGGAATAGTATTCCACTTCAAAAAGGATGGAAATTCTGAAACGGCTACAACATAGATGTACCGTGGAGACATTATGCTAAATGAAATAAGCCAGTCACAAAATGACAAGTATTGTGTGTTTTCACTTATATGAGTTACCTAAATTAGTCAAAATCATAGAGACAGAAAGTAGAATGCTGGTTACCAGGGGATAGGAGAAGGAAGAAATGGGGAGTCATTGTTTTTGAGTATAGAATTTCAGTTTGGAAAGATGAAAAATTTCTGAAGATGGATGGTGGTGACGGTAGCACAATAGTGTGAATGTACTTAATGCCACAGAAGTGTACACATAAAAATGGTTTAAATGGTAAATTTTAGGTTAAGTATATTTTACCACATTTATTTTAAAAAAGAAAACCACACAAGAACATTCCAAAATTTTCAGTTGTCATATTTCTGTGCTTAATTTATAGTCTTCTCCCTTGAAAAAAATGCCTCCCAGAAATAAATTTTCTTATGTAGATCTACGAAAGCTTGGAGATTTTTTTTCAGCTTATTCTATAACAATTGTTCTACAAATCAATATTCAGCTAGTTCTGGCTCAGGATCTCTCATGAGGTTGCAGACACGATGGCCAGGATGACAGTCATCCAGAGGCTTAGGTGAGACTGGAGGACTAGCTTCCGAGGTGACTCATCACCTTTGCCATGTGGACCTCCCCATAATGTTGCCTGAGAGTCCTGCTGGCATCTGGCTTCCCCTTCAGCAAGTGATACAATAGAGGACTCAAGGAGGAGCCGCAGTGCCTGCTATGACCTGTACCATCCCTTCCACCGTGTACTGCTCAGAAGCAAGTCTCAAAGTACAGTACACTCTCGAGAGAGGAGAATTAGGCTCCACCTTTGGAAGGTAGAACTATCAATTTGTGTGCACCTCTGAAATCATGACACATCCCTCCAAAAGCCACTTCTCCTTTCCTTTTGCTTTTTTACATCCCCAGAAGCTATGTGTTTTGAAAACTACCCTTTTAAGTCATACTCACTTTGAAGCCCTTTCCCTGTAGTCTGTGCCCTCATCTGTCCAGACACTTTTTAAGCATTTTCATACTCAAAGTGGATTTAGTCTTCCCAGACCTTCTGCTGGCCCCTTCACTAGCTTCCCTTTTCTGCAGTTTTTCTGTCTGCCTTCGCTTCGCACAAAGCAGAGGTGGGGCAGGAGCAAGAAAGATTACACACTGCTATTTGGTGCCTTTCTCTTTTCACTTTTTTCAATGTCCTTGGCATTCTCTGTCTTTGAATTTTGTTGAAAGGATGGTTTACATGTCGGTTGACTTTTCCCTCTTATTGTTTTGCATATTTGGGGAGGAAACCTTAAGAGGCAGGTTGCTGGACGACCACCATTGTCTTCAGCTACCTGGAAGTCCCCACAGGATTTTAAAAGATGTTGCTCATTAATGGATATTAGGTTAAAATTTTTAAAAAAACAGGCAGGAGAAGGAGAAAAGAAGAAGAGGAGGAAGAGAAAGAAAGAAGGAAAAGAGAAAAAGTTTAGAAAATACTCAAAATTAACATGCCTCAGCTGACATGTGTGATTATAGTCCCTGTGATTAGAATTTTTACATGCATAATTTAATTTTATCCTCACAAAATCCTAAGAGGTAAGCTCTATTAATATCCCTATCTTACAATTGGGAAAACTGGGGATCAGAAGATTAAATAAGTTCTCCCCAGTCCCCCAGGCAGTATGAGGTAAAGCTGGGTTTCAAGCTGTAGCAGAGAATCCTGAGCAATACCAACGCCATCTAGGGTGGGTGCTCCATTCTCATTGTCAGACTACCCCCCTCTGTGTGAGAAACCGTTGACCTCATATAAACAAAAACTGTCACATAGAAACAAGAACCATACACAATGAAAATTTTTATGCTTGATTGCTTTAATTGCTCACTTTTGGCTTCTGTAACCTAGCTACCTAGCTTGCGTTGTGCACCTGGACAAACCCATGTGCCAACGGGATGTGGTTTTTGCTTTTATAAACTCCATCAGACCAGGGCTAGCTGCTGCTCTCCCAAAATACCTAGGGGAGGCGGTTGCTGGCTGGCTAATAAAGACTCTGTTAAAATTCTTAATTAAATGTTTGGTTCCTTTCCTGGGTGACAACCTCACAACAAAGCACAGATATCTGAGCAGGTGTGGACTCTGAATCTACATGCTTAAGGCCTTTGCTTTTGGCTCAGTGCCAGGAGGAAGGCTAAAATGCTACATAACTTATGAGCCCAAGTGCTTTAAATAAATGTCAAAAAATAAGCACCCTTAAAGGAAGCCAAATTTGTCAGGATTTCTACTGCTCTGCATACCACTTCTCTTCTGTTTCAGTCCTCTCTGATTTCAACATCTTCCAGGTGTGTAGAATAGCAAAAACGATCAATGAAAACCCACTTGTTAAATATGAACGATCATATGATTTAAAAAAAAGGGAAAAGGGGGCCGGCCTGGTGGCGCACTGCGCTAGTGCGCCGCTTGGGAAGTGCGGAGGCGCTCCCGCCGAGGGTTCGGATCCCACATACAGACCGGTTCCCGCTCACTGGCTGAGCGAGGCGCGGGGGCAGCACCGAGGGTTGCGATCCATTGCCGGACACGGAAAAAGACAAAAAAAAAAAAAAAAGGGAAAAGGTAACATTATTTTAGGATATGTTAAATTTGGTGAGTTTAGTACAGTTTATTATTTTTCTAAGTAAACTAAGAATCATAACATGATTTCTTCCTGTTCTTTTTGAACATTACACAGGATGAGGAAGAGCTGCTTGGTGGTAAAGATGCCGAGGACTTCCTATTGGGCTTGGATCATGCGGCTGATGATTTTGTGGCAATTAGACCTGCAGATTATGAAAGTGTCCATGTTTGGCAGCAGATGGAAAAAGAAATCCTCTTCATACCCAGTAGGCTGACAGGTACTTGCTCTTTTCATCTTCCAGTTCTGCTTGGATATCTTCATTTTTTCTTCAAATGTATAAAGATGCCCCATTTCCAGAATTAATTCCAGTTTCTAATCTGATTGAATAATCAAGAAATATCTTCAGACAAGATATAGAACATGGAAAAATATGTTTCAACAAACACTTAATAGAATAGCAGAAGAAACACAGGGCGCTGTGGGAGCCCCTTTATCCAATTAGTGACCAGTTCTGGGGCTGAGAGTATGTGGGACTCTGACATTCAGGCTGGGGAAAATGACCAGGATACCAAAGCTGGGACGATCTGATTAACGCCTACTTACTGTTCCACGCTTCTCTTCTGGCCTGGATTTTCCTTCACTCTTTTTTCCCTGAAATTTTCTTTTCTTCTGAGAGTGCCTGAGGGATTTGATGCTTACCCAGTTCTACTAGTTGTCAGGCTAGGGAGCACACCCTTCAGACCCATTGTACAGACTGGGTCACAGACCCCTCACATGCAGGTCATGAGCTAGGTAATTGAGAAAGATCCCAGGAGCCGTTGACAGATGACATGAGCTCAGTCCTCAGCTTCCTCAGCAGCAGCAGCAGCAGCTTATAGCTTACAGCAGCCTCCAGCAGTAGCCATGGCAGTGGCTTCCTGGGGCATCACTGGGGCCCTGGCAGCAGCAGCAACAGCTTCCAGCAGCAGTAGTGGCCTCTCCATGGACCCCAAAGGGGCATCCTGGGGGCAGAGGACACTGTGGATCAGAGCCATTTGTCCTTTATACTCAAGTTTGATAACCCAGGACACCTGGGTGTGAGTCAGACAACCCAGGAACACCTGAGTGCCCATGCACATCCATAGACAATAGCCAAGGAACACCTGGGCACACGTGCAGTTTTATTTACATCAAATACTTGGCAAGATTCTGAACATCTGAGAGACCCTGACCATTTATATTTCATTTTCCCTACACTAGTTAAAATGTAAAATGACAGAACAGCCTGAGTACTATAATAGAGGCTGTTAAGGGGCCCTGGGCTTACCTAACTTTCTCTCTGCTTTGAGTTGTGAGGGAAAATCAGGGAATGGAAACATTTTGATGGAATTTTGGAAGTTGGATTTCCTATGAATTTTGTTCATGTTCGGTCTGAGTTCCAATTAAATGCTGAATCAAGGACAAATTGCTTCATTTTGACAGGTTGTTTTGAATCATATATATTCAAATTATTGGAATTGGTTGAACATCCCAAGTTTCCTTTTAAAATAGGTAGCTGGCAAAGGTGTCCAAAGGTTATGGCTTTGCCCCAATAATAACTGTAGCGAATGCATCCTGTCCACTTACTCCTCAGTAAGTACTTTCTTAAGCCCATGACATGCATCAGTGATCCCACACCAGGAATGGGAAGAGGTGTTCTTTATTGTGCCTGTTTTACAGATGAGGAAGCAGAAGCCCAGAGAAATTAGGGAAATGGCCCAAGATCATGAAGCTAGTGTAGTGGTGGTGGCAGGTTTCTGATCTAGGTGGCCTGCCCCAGAGGCCACATTCCTAACCATGGAGAAACGCATTTGTAGCAACCTTGTCTGGGAGAAGCTTTGCCACCTGTGTTTTTGCTCAGGGGTCTTACTGTTTGGCCTCTCCCTGGAGCCTACCTGGGGTGGAACGAGGGTTGGTTGGCAAGGGCCGTGGAAGAGGTCTAGAGAGCCCTGGTTGCACCTGAGGCCTGCTCTGAGCAGAGAATCTGAGCATGCACCCATCTCCCACCCAGCCCTGTGAGGCAGCAACACCCTGGCCACACCAACAGGAGTGGAGGAGCCAAGCAGACCCAGCTGTCCCTCATGAGGCATGACCTTGCACCATTCATTTATTCTCAGGGGCCTCAACTGAAAAAGGGAGGAAATAAAACCTGCCCTGTAAGGTGACTTTGGGCATTTATTTTGATTGTGAGCATTGAGGAAACAATATGAGTGAAGGACCTAGTATTTTAACACGTAGTAGGTGATCAAAAATCATACATTCTGTTACTGTTGCTGTTGTTTTTGTTCTTGTCTAGCACAGTGGTTTCCAAAGGAGTGCACTCACCCCAGGGGTATTGGAAGAACATATCAAGGCTTCTACTTAGATTTATTTTTACTCTCATTCTTTCCTAATTTAATTTTGTGGGTATGATAGTGCATAGGTAATAAATAAACATATATATTGGATGAGCACTCAACAATGCTTTAATGCAAAATTTTGAAGACCAACAGATTCGTGATGAACTGATGTCTAGCCGTGTGAATGGAGGGGTGGGGAGCAGAGAAAAGAGTGGATTCATAGCTTGCTCCATGTTTTCTGAGGATTCAGAGAAGGGTTTTCCGAGGAATGCTGGCATTAGTTGGTTTTGGTGGTTGTGTAGGGGATGCAGAGTATCCAAGTGCCACCCACAGGAAAGTGAGGGATTTGGCATGGGTTTAGAGTGAGATAATTATAACATAAAGAAGGAGTCACCCCTGTAATCATTAATTCTCAAATTCCATCCTGACCCCCACCAGCCATCCTCTCCTGGCTTCCCTTACATTTTCTCTAGTCTACTCTGCAGCTGCAGAACCCGTGACTTTTTAGAATTGTAAATCTGTTCAGTCGCTCCCCAGCACAGAGGCCCTGAATGGATCCAGCTCCCTTGAATAGAACCCAAGCTCCTCTCTGTGACCTGAAGAGCACCCCTTGTTCTCTCCCCTGCCATTCTCTGCCCCTGCTTACCACACCACAGCATTCTGGAAGATTCTTTGTTACCCCAACATGCCCACTGTTTAGGACAGTAGTCCCCCCCACTTATCTGGGATTTTGCTTTCTACAGTTGCAGTTACCCATGGTCAATTGTGGTCTGAAAATATTGAATGAAAAATTCCAAAAGTAAACAATTCATAGGTTTTAAATTGCACACCTTTCTGAGTGGCGTGATGAAATCTCGTGCTGTCCCGCCCCATCCTGCCAGGATGTGAGTCACCCCTTTGGGTGGTGTATTCACAGTGTCTGTGCGACCCATCTGTTAATCACTTAACAGCTGTGTTGGTGATCAGATCTTTATTATCAGATCTGTGACCCTTATTTTACCTAATAGTGGCCTGAAAGTGCAAGAGTCATGACACTGATATACTATTATGATTGTTCTATTTTACTATTAGTTATTGTTAACTAATCTCTTATTGTGCCTAATTTATCAATTCAATTTTATCATAGGCATGTATGTGTAGGAAAAGCACAGGGTTCGACATCTGAGCTCCCAGACAGCTGGCCTGGCCAGCATAGCCAGTCTCGTATGTGCCTGGCACAGAGAGGCTGAAGACAAAGATGTGTTCCATGAATGAACACAAGAGTGAATGAGTACATGAGGTAACGGCCACGTTTGCTCAAGGAAACTTTTTAACTTACAAGGCATTTCTTCATACTTGACCTCATTTAATTCTCCCAGGAACCCAGTTAAGTAGATATTATCGCTTCGTACAGAAGGAAAGAGTTCAAAGTGCCTGGCCTGAATTTACTTAGCTAAAGAGTAATGAAGCGAAAACTTGCCCCTAGGTCCTTTGGTTTGAATATTATACTCTTCTCAGTATGCCACTCAGTGCGTTAGGAATTGAATTATTTAGGTGTTATCCGTTAAATACGTGATTCTACAACCTCATATTGCAAGTGAACACATTCATCTTTCCTTTGGTTCTGCTTCTAGAAATTAATTTGAAAAATTTGCAGTTCCTAGGAACATAAATGAAATCTCTGGTGGTTGTTTTAATTCACCAAAGTGAAGTTTGAAATGTTTAGGTTGGCACCAATATTTATTTTATTTATTTATGAACTATCTAGTGCCGACCTACAAAAAGCTTCCTGAGAATGTGCAGCCCAGATTCCTGGAAGATGAAGGCCTTTACATTGGGGCTCGACCAGAGGTGGCCCGTGCCAATCAGAACATCATGGAGAACAGGTTGCTGACGCAGGAGCCCGTAAGTGGGGACCCCCGCTCCCAGCGAAGCCTGGGTGCACCTGATGTGAAGGTGCTTCTTCTTGACCAGCAGCCATCCATCCACTCTACTCATTTCCTCTTGAGGTTGTCTGTAGAAAGTGGTTCATTTTTGTTTTTAATTTTGTCTCTAGGTACATTTAGTGATCCTAAAACAATACAACCTCTCAACTGCTCAGAACCCATATTCTGCTAGTTGGACCTGGGTGTTTCCTACTGAATCAGATGTTAGCAATATTTTCTTAAACATTTATTTGAGATTTTCCTTGAACTGTTTTTTTTTGGTGGTGATGGGGGCAGGGCTGTATCTTAAGTAGGTTGTTGGAGGTCTTAGTGAAGACTTGATTTCTGAAGGAAACCAAGACTTTTAAAGTTCTACTGGGGCAGGAGGAGGTACATAGAACATGTATGTTGACGCAGAATTTTCCTGCAAATGTTGTTTGTTTTATAAACCATTTTCTGCCAATCCACAGGGGAGAAGATGGTTTGGAGATGATGGCAGAATCCTAGCACTGCCAAGCCCCATCAAGCAATTTCCTTCAAGGCCATCAGTGTTAACGCAGGATCAAAGCATTAAGGCAGAACTAGAAACAGTATATAAAAAGGTAGACACTCCTCCCCCCCACTCCATTTTTAATACATGAAATTGAAAGTGTTTTGCTTTTTGAATACCTTGGGGTACTGAATTTGTAACATTGCACTTTGACTTTTTCAAATAAAAGAGTCAGTCCAACTTTGCTCACCTAATCCCATCTCAAAGAAAGAATGGGTTTCTTAGCCAGGAACGACTGAGTCAGCATCTTTATTTGCACTCCAGGTTAGCTGCCCGTACTTTTCTTCCTTTTTCCTTCCCCTGTTCTCTTTTGTCATCTCACATATGCTGCAGGATTATAATTTCCCCCCTTGTTGTCTCTTTATTATATAACTGGAGGTTTGCTATCCTTGCAAATCCTCTTTACTGTATCTGCCTAAGCTCAAGCTTCCTGATTTGCGTCCTCGCTCTACCACTCATTGGGTGAACTTGGGCCTCAGTTTCTCTGTCCTTTAATTTCTTCATCTGTAAAATAGGCATAATCATAGTGTCTACCTCCTAGGATTGCTATGCAGATTGAATGAGATAATACATCAAGTGTTTAAGACAGAGCTTAGTAAGTGCTGGCTATTGTAAAAGAGATAGAGTTGCTTGTCCTCGTGTTTAATTATATTGCTGTGATTTCCTGGGACCGTCTCCTTCAGAAATCCATGTAATTTTAAATTTGTAACATTCCAACACTGATAAAGTAAAACATAACAAGGGGGTGTAATGATCATTCTATAAAGTGGGATGATGAGCAGAGAAGACACAGGCTCGAGTCAGGGAATCAGAGCGACATTGTGCTGTCCCATTAACCGGTGTGTGGCTTTGGGCAGGTCCCTTTACTTCTCTAGAAATGTTTCCTTAATTGAAAAATATGAATAATATTGATTTTCTCTACCTAAGAGGGTCATGGTAAGTATTGAGGTGGTATACGAGTATGCCCTTTTTTAAAGTTGTAAAATTCTACAAAATATTGTTATTACAGACAAGTATTAATGAATGTCTACTTTGTACAGAAATGTGATCCTGGGAGTAGACTTACAAAATAAGCATAAACATCAGTCTCAGCCCATGAGGGATTTGTCATCTATGTGGTTACACACAGCAAAGATTCATGATATTATTAGTGATCAAGACAGTATCAACTTACACATATATCAAATAATCCATCAGTCCATCTCTTCATCCATCCATCCATTTCAGTATGAAACACTGATATAGTGAGACACTAAACTGCGGGTTAAAATTAGAAAACAGAAGAGTAATTAATATGGAGGCTAGGGTATGAGGGAGCCAGTTAATCTTATCTGTCTCCTTTAGAAGTTCTAAACTAATTTGGAAATGCACAGGAGTCAGAGAGAGATCCGGATATCAGTTGCTGTGAGGGTAAAACTGAGTAGCAGAATGCCACGTGGACCCAAGACCAGATGGGTTTCCTGCTCCATCTCTCATGAATTACATTCCCCACCTAGACACAAGCTGAGCAGCTAGAAGTGCTCTGGGGAGTTTACCAAGTGTCAAGGAGACCACGCTGGCTGATGAGCAGGTTCTCTTTGGTGACAGCTAATAAGGGACAGCTAGAGCCACCTCTTCACCCTACTCAGCAGAGAGCCTGGACCTAGTATCTTGGCTCCAGCTGACTCTCCCATCACATACATTCCTCCTCCTCCCTTGGGAAGCAGCCAGTATGAATGGGAGAGTGGGTAGAGAAGGACAGAAGGGGCTGGCCATAAACCATCACAGAGCAAAGAAGTTAGAGAAGTCCAGAGGGGCTGAAGTCTTCCAAGGGCATTTTTTAAAGGACTGGGCTTTGAATACAGAAAAGTACAAAGAATGTCCTAGAATGCTTAAGAAAGAAGCAAAAGGGTTTAAGTTAGATAGAGGAGATACTATACCTATCTCTTTGTTTTTCCATAGCAAGTTACTTATTAAGTTTATTCTTGATTTATATACCTCAGTCTTTTTCCATGTGATTACATTCCCTTCCAGTAACTCAAAACACAATGCTTTTCTTTCAGAATTAATATTTTTACAATTTTAATTATTTAACCTTTTCCTACATTTATTCAAATCTGTCTGATGCTGAAATCTATGTTTTTTTCACTGTTTCATGCAACAAGCTTGCCTTTAAGGAAACTTGTTAAATGCATATGGCCTATATTTTCAGTCTTATGTCCAAACAGACCTTGCATGCAGAAGTTTTTGACAGGATGCAGGAGCAGGGAAATAAATCAATAGGCAGAGACTGTTTTGTTCATGGATTGTAAATCTGTCTTCTTTCTCTCTCTCCCACTACCCTGAGAGTGACTTGGGGGCCAGGACTAGGTTACATTCCTCTTCCTAACTCTAACACCTAGCAGAGTGACTGGCACATAGAAATACCTCAATGAAAGTGCAAACTGAATACCATTAAAATTATCCAGCTGTATGTATTTACAAGAAATTCCTTTTTTACTCTTTTCTTTGACTCAGCTGTCTCTCCTGCAAAACATTAGCTTTCCTGAGGTCCTGGCTTAATCCTGGCATCCAAATAATGGAAAAGCAAGTCAGAATGCTAGATCAGGAGTTGACAATTCCTGGGCCCTTCTGAGCCTTGATGAATTTACTCCTCAGAGTTCTCAGGTCTGATGCTAACTCAACCCAGCTGGACTGACCCAAACCGACCCCCCATCAGAATCAGGTCCAGTTGTCCTTTGGTTAGAAATTCTAGACTGTCCATTCAAATGATGGGTTGTATGCCCTCCCAGTAGATAATTTAGGAGTTTTATTTAGAAGAGAGTTGATTTTCAGCCCTGCTTTTTTGAACATGTTCCTTAATTACGGAGGGAAAAAAGTAGTTTTTAAAGGTCAAATATTCTGCCGTTCCTACATAGAGAAGAGACCATTAAAGACAGAGGACTGTAAAAAGAGATTAGATGTCATGCAAAGAAAATAGTAAAACCTCAAATGAGAAAGAATGCAATTTAATACATCTTAATAAGGAACTAATCTGAAACTAAAAAATAAAAATGCTACATGGGACATTGCAGGTAAAACATGAACAATATAAAACGCAGTCTGCCTACTTACAGCCCCTAAAGTAAGTTACAGTTGTTGAAAAGTAGTCCAAACAGCCCTCTTTCATTTTTCCATCCTTTCTTTTTCAATCTTTCTATCCTTACCTGAAAGTCTACTGTATTCTTAGTTGTGCTAAACTCTGGGATTACAGAGGTAGCAACATTCAAACCTGGCCTTAAGGAGACTCTGTGCCTTGAGTGAGGAGACAGAAACAGAATCCAGTGTTAAAGGAACTGTGATATGTACAAGCCTTCCTTTTTCAGAACTGTATAACAATTTGAGGGATTTGTCATGATCCCAACCTCCTTGATAGCTACCACTGGATAAAATTATCACTTTCCCTTTCTACTATTCCCACCAGTATTTCACAGAAGTATTGTTTACCCACTGTGTTCTAAGCAATGCACTACTCAGGACTCTTGGTTGCAAATGACAGAAACCCAATGCAAACTAGCTGAAGCAAAGAAGGAACTTGGCTCACAAAACTGGAGAGGATCTGGGGATAAATTGTAAAATTGAAGGAGGAGCTTTAGGAATCAGGGCCTGCGGGGCTAGGACCAGGGACTCGATGCCAGACGGGCTCTCTCTCCACCTCTTTTTCTCTAGTTCTCCTTCAGTGTCGATGGGCCTTGTTCTCTCCTATTGCAGGCAGGTCAGAATTCTCCATGTGTTAAGGCCATGAGCCTTGATAGCCTGTGCTTAACCACTACAAAGAGAAGAGATCATATTTCCCCACACATGTCACATTATCAATACCAAGGCTGAACACCAGTCGGTTGTAAGTAGACAATGTACCTACCCACCCCATGTCCAGAATACATGGCATGTTCCCAGAAGACAAGGACTAAGAAAGCTTCCCAGGGAAGGCCAGAACAATAGCTACAGAATCTACTGCAGGCTCGGGGCTGAACTCAGGCTTTGCTGCTGTTATCATCCCAGGGCACATGTGGAAACTTGTACTTTAATCCCCCTAATGATTACTGTTTTCCTGTACAACTTTTAATTTTTTTCCCATTGGTATGCATCTCAGCACATGCTGAGAACATCAACAGATAGTTTGTAGGTATCATCTCTTATAGTTTTGGTTTTCAGTTTTCAGTTGAAGACTAAAGAATCAAATCAATTTCAAAATTAAGATATACTCTATAAATATTATCTCCCCTTGGGAGAAATTGTTGCAACCATTGTCATGATAGTTCTCAATACATAAGAAAGGAAAACAGATACAACAAAAAGAAAGACAAGGTGTTTCTCTCTAATAGGAAGTGAGTTGGGGTCTTTTGATCAGTCTAGCCCAGTGACTACTAGGTCTGGGCTAGACTTTTATATTCTGGGAGACTTTGAGATTTGGTTAAGGTAAGTTTAAGGAAGAAACCACAGTAATTATTGGAATATGGGATGGTGCAGATTTGGGGAAGAAGATGCAAATTGCAGGTAACCTAGGTAACATTACAAGAAAACAGAACCATTCTACCAATGTTGCTTACTCACACCAAGAAGAGTACAAGATGGAGCCTGTGAGCCACACCCTGAGTGATCTCATAACTCCAGGACCCCATGGTAGAAGAAAAGGAAAGACAAGAACTAGCAAGTGCAAAGCAATTAGAGAGGAACTTTCCATTACATCTGTGGATTGACGTTTAGTTGTATGTGTCTTCATGAGGTGGAAATTTTTTAATTCATCAAGGTAATCTGAGTTGTCATAAGACACATAGTGGCCACATGCAGATTAAAAATTTCTAATATTAATGCAGTTTATAATTGAATACTTTTACCTGAATGAAAGAGAAGAGAAATGGGCCTCCACTGTTGCAGTCTGAAGTGTAAGGAAATTAATGATCAGAATTAACCCCTGAAAGGCCACATAGGGCTTTCATAAGATACTGGGGAGGTCTTTCCTCCTGTAAATCCAAGTGGAGGTCCATGGAAGAAAGTGTTGCTACTCTTTTCATGACATTTCTCAAAATATAAGAAAAACCGATCCACCCCCCCAACCCCCCGAAAAGACAAGAAACTAGAGGTCTTTCTCCCTAATAGGAAGGGAGTCGAGGTCTTTCGAGCAGTCTACCCCCATGGCTAACAGGAGTCCTGGAAGCTTTTTATACTTGATTTAGCTGAGCTTAAAGCAGAGACCACCAGCAATTATTGGAACATGGACTAATGCAGATTTGGGAAGCGGATTTGAAAAAAAAAAAGCATTATTTCAGAAGGTACTGAGGTATAATTAATCCATTCCTATTCAAGCCTAAAATATTTATAAACACATCCCAGTTTTACAAGGACATTTTAAATTATAAAAAATCTGTAGGTCTTCTCATCAAAGATTGAATGTTATTTCATAGGAGAAAACTTGATATTTTATTAATATAAATGTAGAATACACTGTATTAGAGCTCTGTAAGTCCTAAATATACATCAATAATCTACTACTCTAGAGAGGAAAAAGTATGAAATTGAATGGCTAAAATGAAGTAAACTCATATATTCTTATGAAAACCAGTACTAAACAGGCAACAACACAACACAATGACAACTTAACTGATAAGTGAAGACTCATATGTATATGCTTTACTGTAAGTGCAAATACTGGTAACTATTTTGATGACTGAGAGTGACTGAAAATCAGATCACACCATAAAACAAATAAAAACACATTTCTATATGTATATACATGTGTACACACACACCATTGTGGACCTCCCATTTTCTGTTCTTAGTTTGATAGGGAATAATGTTAGAATCTTATAATCAAATCATTGGGTTCTAATGCTGAAATCCCCTTTTCTGGGTTTCCATACCTCCCTCTGCACATCCCAGGCTTCATCCGTCCAGATCCCAGGGCTGTCTTCCCCTCTAAACTGACTGCTGCTTGAAGACAGGCCCCACCACATTGTAAATATCCATTGATCTTTGTTAAATAGATGAAATGATACATGTGAAGTGTTTTTTATGATCCCTAGTGACCTACAAAATGCTAATTGAATCTTTTTCCTCCATCTCCCATTTCTACAGATGAAGAAATAGAGGCCAGATGTGTATAGTAAATTGCCAAAGGTCCCAGAGCAAGTTCAGTGCAGACTCAGGGCTAGAGTGTAAGGCTTCTGGCCCAAATCTAGCATCTTTACATGATACCGTGCAAAGAATTAAATGAAAAGATTACTGAACATGTTATCCACAATTTATGAAGGATGGAAGCTTCAATTCTGACTACAGTAGTTTTTACAACTCTATTTAACCTCATAACTTGTAAATAATACATTTGTGCCATATAATCTTATATTATCATTTTCCAGATCACATAAGTAGCTTTCAAAGCTCACCTCTGCAAAAAGAAAAGACTAAATGACTTGTCCCAAACCACCACCTCTTGACCAGTCAGTGTTTATCATGTGGAGAGAAAATGAAGACACAAAATCAACAGTGTCTCCTCTCCACCTTTGAGTTCCCCGACCACAATGGCAGTTGTGATTAATGTAGAATATTTTGAAGACTTTATGGAGGAAAAACAGAGAGATTTATCTAACACATTATACACCAAACAATCCAAGAAATTCCCATTGGAAATTTTTGTTCCTGTTTTCTACACACTGGACTCAGTTGTTCCCCACCCCACCCACTTGCTGTTATTTTCATGCTAATTTCCTTTCATGCTAACTTCCTTTCTTCCCAGGAAAACTGGGTGCCAGGACGAAGCTCAATAAAGTAAAAGTTAGTCTCTTGCTGCTGTCTACAGAATAAAAATTTCTTTATATGTTTTAAAAATTTAGGGCCGGCCCAGCGGCTCAATCGGGAGAGTGAGGCACTGGGAACGCCGAGGCCGTGGGTTCGGATCCTATATAGGGATGGCCGGTGCGCTCACTGGCTGAGTGTGATGCAGACAACACTGTACCGAGGGTTGTGCTCCTCTTACCGGTCAGAAAAAAATAAATAAATAATAATGATAATAAAATTTAATTACATGGGAGTGTATCTATTATCCAAATAATGATCAGGTGGGACTAGAATCTATGCTTCTCTAATACCTGGAAACAGGAAGTTGAGCATCTTTCACCTGACTTGACCAGGGTAAAGGTATTTTGCATCAGATTGTTTTCTCATTGCAGATTACAACATCATTATCTAGTAAATGCTTTAACTATGTTCCACCCACACTCTGCTCTCTTTGGCAGGCAGTAAAATATGTCCACGTCAGTAAGCATATGACTGGATCTGTAGACCCTCCTGGAAATTTCCAACTGGATATTGATATTTCAGGGTTAATCTTCACTCATCATCCCTGTTTTAGCCGAGAGCATGTTTTGGCAGCCAAGCTTGCCCAGTTATATGACCAGTACCTTGCAAGGCAACAGAGAAACAAGGCGAAATTTCTTACTGATAAGGTACATGTGATCTTTTCCATGCTAACATTGATGGGGTTGGTTCTTCTGATAAGCCAAACAATGAAAATACTTTCTAGCAGCAAAGTGTTCGTGTCCCTCATTGAGATGTTCCCTCTGTGATACATTGTCCTACCTAGAGACAAAAAGGAAGGGTGGAGATGGTATATATTTATATTTAGAGGCAAAAGGAAGGATGGAGATAATGTACCAATTCAGTGGCACACACTTGCCTTAAAGAGAAGATCTTTGTAAACAGTGCAAGTGATCACACCCACCAGAAGTGGGTATTAGATGGAGTATGTGTGGTTGTCACTTGCTTGTGTGATCTCAGATCCTGAGACCATTGGTGGTTTGAGAGTCTCTCTCTGTTTAGAGACATTCCCATATTTACATGTATTTTTTCCATTCTGTGGCAAGTCAGTTCTACTGATTCTCAAAGAAATAGCTATCCTTTTGAATTTATTTCCAATGTAACACTATCCTATGAGATTTTCACAGGTAATTCTGACTACAGGCAATTTTGACTGCGTGCCCTGACTTTACAACCTTACTGCCCAAATGAGAGAGAACTTCACAATACTTCTTTTTATGAGTTATAATTTTATAATTTCTTCATATCACAAAAATACCATTATATGTCAAGGACCCATAAAGACACACTGTTAGCTTTGAAAGAAAACTTGTTTTTGAGACACACACATAAATGTGACATTTGTCATGAGGAGATTGATTATCTGGGCCACAGAACAAAAATGGACATACACTATTCTTGATTATTCCAGTTTTTTAAAGAAAGAATAAAATAGTCATCTGTGAAAGTTCACTTTGGTGAAAGTTTGGAGACAGCTGGAAGCTAAAACATCCATTCACAGAATGCTTGCACTGTATCGCCTGGGAGAAGTGGGTGGGACTAATCACATTACTTGCAGTAGGTAATACAGTTTCTAACTCAAGACTTGTATCCATGTCTTTTTAAGCTCCAAGCTCTCAGAAATGCTGTTCAGACTGGACTTAATCCAGAAAAACCTCATCCATCCCTTGATACAACCCAAAAAACCATCAATGAGTATAAATCTGAAATTTGGTGAGTAATGTTTATAATTATAACTATTGATTTTTCCCTCTTGTTAGATGTGTACATATTTAGAGTTTGTTTTTCCAGATAGTTTTCCTGAGTGCACTGAATACATGTGAAATTATGCCAGCTGAAATAATGAGATACCTTCATATTAACACAAAACTGGAAGCCGTTAATATGAATGAGGATGTAGGGAAATGATCCCCTGCATATTCTGCAGATATTAGTAAAAATTGCTACAGCACTTTAGAGAACAGTCTGGCCATAGACTAGCAAAGTGTTCAAAGTGCCTATTAGCTCAGACCCAGCAATTCAGCTTCAGACATGTGCACTCTAAGGAGCTATGTGCACATGTGCACATATGGACGTGTGCAGGTATGTGCACAGCATCACTCATGAAAGTAAAAAACCAGAAATAACTCAGTACCAGAATGAACACATCTTGGTACAGTCATAGAGCGGACATCTACACCATGGTTTAAATAACTGAATTCCATCTGCATATATCTCCCTGGATAAATCTAGAAAACAATGTTGAATGAAAAAACCCAGCTGTAAGAGGATACTCACTATGTGGTATGCTTCACAAAGTCTAAAGAACACCTGGGACAGTCCTCATTTGTTACAGGTACACGTAGGGGTGTACCTATAGGCAGAAAAGGTGCACAGCAGTTTATTCCTCCTTGGAGGGAGAAGTGGGGATAGAATGGAGGAGGTCTTCAAATGTAACTATAACACCTCATTAAAAACATCCTGAGTAAATGAGACAAAACGTCACCAGGTGTCATATTATCTATTATCTTTACTTTTCTGTTTCTTTGAATTATTCATAATCGAAAAATTAAAACCCTTATCATTGCCAAACAACAGGGAAATGTGGAATGTGAACGTCACCTTAAGTCCCATCCCTTAGAGAAAATCATGGTTATCAGTTTTCTGCTAGTTCCCCCCCACACACACACACACAGATATGTTCATGTATATATATTTTATTTTTCAAAGCAATCATACTGCACAAACCATTGTGCAACTTGCTTTTTTATGTAAGATGCATCTTAGACCTTTTCCTATTACATCCAGATCTATCTCATTGTTTAAAGGCTGGCATTGTGTAGTTTATTATAGTTCATATAATCCCCAGTTGACAGGCATTGTATTAGCCCTATTTTTTATTATTTAAATTGTACTGTAATTAGAATTCTTATGTGTATATATTTGTGTACCTATATGAGTATTTCCATAGAATAATTTCTTAGAACAGGAAATAATAAATCTAAGAGTTTCTTTTTGTAAATGTATACTTTTCCTTTTACACTCTAGGCATGAGTTGAAAATTTTTCAGCAAAGTGCAAATTAGTTAACTTTGTATACTGCAATTGTAAAAGTATGAAGAGTATGTTTTTAAATAAAAATTATTTTTTATGTTAAAAGGAAAAACACTGCAACCTACTTGTGAGAAAAATTTTTGTTTTAGTACATGTTGGCTAAGAAAAAAGTGACAGAAAGCCTTTCTGAAAGCAATCTTTGTTTTATATGAAATTGTATTTTTTAATCACTATTTGATAAACAGTACAACTGTGTGTATGACACCTACAGACAATGCCAAGTGGACCCATGGATCACAGACCTATTGCAAGAATTCTGTCACCCCTGGAGATAAAAACGTCTGAGATTTAGCATTTATGACCCAGTAAAAGAGGAGATTTCAGTCTTTTACTGACTTTTCCCTAGGTGGCAAAGCAAATTCTAGGCAGATGATCTGTTCCTGGATGGTTACCAAGTAAACCTCCTGAAATCTGCTGATCAGTGCCCCCGCCCCCCTAAACCTACTGAGCCCTCGTTGGTGCAGTTAACCTGGGCCAGCATCACTTTAAGCATTTTTCCATTTTATTTTCTATAGTGGCATCATGATTGCATGTTCTCTGAAATAGAACCAGAATATGTAGGGAAGGAAACATGGATGTCCACGCAATATAGGGAGACACTTAATTTAACTGTCTGTAACAGTCAAGGTATTAGTCTATTTCTGTTGCTCATAACAGAATACTTGAAACTGGGTGATTTGTAAAGAAATGAAATCTGTTTCTTACTGTTTGAAGGCTGGGAAGTCCAAGGGGTGCATTTGGTGAGGGCCATTTTTTGGTGGTGACTCTGCAGTGACACAGGGTATCATATGGTGAATGGAATGAGCAAGAGAGAGCTAACCTGCTCACTGGCTCTCCTTATAAAGCCATCAGGACCACGCCCATGACCACCCATTAAACCATCAATGGATTAATCCATTCATGGGGTACAGGCCTCACAATCTAACCACCTCCTGGAGACCCCACCGTTCAATTACCATAATAGGATTTCTCACCCTCATAACACTGTTATGATAGAGATCAAGTCTCCAACACACAAACCTCCAGGGAACACATCCAACCCTCAGCACCCTGTCTACTGGGTCGTCACTTTCAGGTACACTCCATCTTGAATGAATAAAAATTCTATGACCCCAGATCCCCATGCAGCTACTACTTTATCTCTATGTTTCCCTTCACAGCCAAACCTTTGGAAAACATTTTCTGTTCATGCAGTCTGCACTCCCCCCCACCTCCACCTCCACCTCACCTGTCTCGCTCCTGTAGTCCCCTTTCCTCTGAAGCTAGCTTGCCACAGCCCCCGTGGAACACTGTATTTTCAAGTGGAATGGAACCTCTCAGCGCTCTCAGCTCTTGGACACTGACACCGTCCCCATGCGCTGCCTGTTGTGACAGTCTCTTCTCCTTCCCTCTGTACAACATCCTCCTGGACGTCCTTGTGCCTCTGTAGCTACCTGTCTTCTTCACCCTCCTTTGCCTAACTTTCCTCCTCTGCCCAGCTTATACATGTCCAGCGTTCCTCCGGTGGTGGTGTTTTCTTTTTCACCTTTCTTTAAACCTGTGTTTCTTCCTAGCCTGAATCCACTCCCATGGTTTTAAATATCATCTAGATGCTAGTGGCTCCCAGTGTTTCATCTCTGGGCTGTGTGTCCCTTCTGTGCTCCAGATCCTGTCCACATCAGGTTTCTGAAAAGTGTTTCCCAACTCCCAAATCACAATTGTTTTTCCCTGTTCCTCCATAGCTCTCACAATTTGTAATTAAATATTCTTTTTGCAATTCTCTGCTTCTTTAGCTCTTGTCAAATTTTACTTGCTAAGTGTTCTTTTTAGCATTTCCAGGAACCTATTTTATTAGGTACTATTTTAAAAGGTAGAAAATATATCTCAAAGCCTATATGTGTCATGTAACTCAGCAAAATAATTTTATACTGTGGTTTCAAAAAATAAGGCAGGGGAGACAGCAGCTGAAGCAAAAAACAACAGACCACCTGATAATGACAGATAACATTTGTGGACTCTCACCAGGTATCAAGCAAGGTTCTAAGCTCATTATGTGATTATCTCATTTACTTCTTCCAGCACCCCTGTGAAGTCAGTTCTATTCACATCCCTGTTTGGTATGGAGCTTGCCCAAGGCCAGCTAGTAAATAATAGAGCCAGGATTCAAACCTGGGTAGTCTGGTTCCAGCAACTGTGTTCTTAACCACGATGCTTGACTGCTCCTCAAGAAAAGTGATTCTTATTCTAGTTCACCACTTTCTTTCTCCCAGAGAGTCCTGAATCTTGGCCACCCAGCCACTAACTATCTGTCATCTTTTCCACATCCACCAGTTGAACAAATACAAATTAGAACTCCTTGCTTTTCTATACCACCTCTACAGGCTAGGTCATCACAAGTACAACCTCCAGACTCAGGTTCCTTGTGGAGGTCAAGAGGTGCTAATTCGTGACATGCTGCCTCCTTGGTTTCTCATGGCATTCACTCAGTCAAATCTCTCATTCTGTTATCATCATGTACGTGTCTGTCTCCTGAGTTAAACTATAAACTCCCTGAAGACAGAAACACCTCCTGTCTCCTACAAATTTCTGAATCCCTGGGAATGACACATGGTACTTGTTCAAGAATTAAATAATAGAGTACATCCATGGTCTGGATTTGGCTATCATTCATAAAGAGGGCTTAAAGTAAGGCATTAAATAATCCCCAAGCACATTAAACAATGGAAATCAAGATGAAAGCATTTTCAAATGATGCCTCTTCAGATCAAGCCAAAAATATTGGTAATCTAGCTAGCACTGAAAACTCTCCAAGGCATGTGATAACATTACTTCATCTTTGCAGTATGGAAACTGTCATTTGTGTTAACACAGAAAGACTCAAATGTATTTGTTGTCAACTAGGACAACAGCATACTTCACTATGTTTACAATAATTTAGTCCATGAGAACTGACTTTACTGGTCATCTTATTTTTATAACTTCAAAGGTGGCTATTTGCTTAAAGGTGCATAATTTTACTAAGATTTTGCAAGGTAATTTAGTCTAATTGAAGTCAGATTCACCAAGGGAGAACAAATCAAATAAATCTCTCAAAACAAATCAGCATCCTATTGTCTTTAAATTTGCATTGGTATTTGGTTTTCCAGTACTTGTTTAGAAGTATTGTAGCTACCAAATTGAATATATAATCACTGTTGCATTATTAATTTCCTTCTTTATTTGCAAATAAACACATCTAAGTAATTTTTTTAATATATACTCATGTATTATATCTTGTAGGCAAACAAGAAAACTGCGTGACATGGAACAAGAAAAAGATCGAGCATTGCTTAAGACCATCATAAAAGTTTGGAAAGAGATGAAATCCCTTCGAGAGTTCCAGAGGTTTTCGAATACGCCCTTGAAACTTGTTTTGAGAAAGTAGGATTTTTTCAAAAATTGTTTTATTGGCCTATAACATACATCCAGAAAAAAAATGTATAAAACATAGATACAGTTTGAAAAATAATTACAAATGAATAACCATGTAACCAGTCCCCCGGTTAAGAGATAAAAACATTGCTGTCCACAGGCAGCTCCCATGTTCCTTTCCCCAACAGTATCTCCTTCATCTCAGAAGTAACAACTATCTGGACTACAGTGAAACCTCTTCCACTGTGGTTTGAGAATTTATGGGCATTGTGTTAGCACAGCATATGGATTATTTAACTCAGAATGGCATTGCTGCTTAGTGGTCAATGTTGGACTCATATTACACTCACCAACTGGGTGTTCTTGGGCAAATTGTCTATGCTGCAGTCACCTCATGTGTAAAATGTGGATAATCATAGTATCTACCTCACCAGGTTGTGAGTTCTTGTGTGCAACACTTCTAGAAGAGGAACTGGCACATTGCAAGCCCAATATGACTGTTTGCTGTTGTAATTACTCTCTTACCTAATTTCACGAAATAACCAAGGTACTATAAATTATTTTAAAGGGAAAAAGTTGACCAGAAAGCAGACGAAGGAGCCCATGAAGCAGAAATTCAAGCTGAAATCAGTGAATTGTTGGAAGAACACACGGAAGAGTACAAACAGAAGATGGAAGAGTACAGAACTTCATACCAGCAGTGGAAAGCCTGGAAGAAAGCCCAAGTTTGTAAACAGCTGCTCAGCCTGGAACAGGGCTGCCCAGGAAGGGTCTGGGAGGGTGGCCCCCTGAGACAGGAGGGAAACTGGACTGGCAGACTGGGGTCTCCTGCTGGCTCCACTCTGTTTCTCCCTGTCCCCTTACTAGGGGACAAAGGATGAACAAAATGACCAGTTAATGCATTTATTTCACAAACCACCTGGCTTGTCGATACCAGAGCCAGCTTTATCCATAATCATTCCGTGGTAACACTTTGTGACTATTTGAGTGAACAAACAAGGAATAAAGTAATCGCTAATCTGTGCGTCAAGCACCATACCATTTTACATGCATTATCCCATTGACTGCAAGTACTGATGCTTCTGAGTTTCCCTCAGAAAATTATTTAACTTTGTGCCCACGATGCTGCAAAACTGAATCCAAGGGCAGCAAATAATAGAACAGGGTTACCTGCAGTACCTGCTATCACAAGCCTTACTTTTTGGTTTTTTTTTTTACTTTTTTTTATTTTGTTTTTGTTTTTTATTTATTTATTTTTTCTTTAATGGGGTACTGTGTGATATTTCAGTACATGTACACAATGTGTAATGATCAAATCAGGACAATCAGTATATCCATCGCCTTCAACATTTATCATTTCTTTGTGCTGAGAACATCCCAAATCTTCTCTTCTCATCATTTGAAAGCATACAATAGACTGCTGTTTATTATAGTCACTCTGTAGTGCTATAGAACACTAGGTCTTATTCCTCCTGTCTAGCTGTAAGTTTGCATCTTTTGTATCCCTCAGCCAACTTCTCCTATCCCCCCTCCTACCTACCCTTCCCAGCCTCTCGTACCCACTATTCTACTCTCTACCTCTATGCGATCCACCTTCTTAGCTTCCACGTGAGTGAGAATATGCAGTATTTTTCTTCCTGTTCCTGGCTTTTTTCATTTAACAATGTCCTCCAAGCCCATGTCCATTGCCACAAATGACAGGATTTCATTCTTTTTCATGGCTGAGTAGTATTTCATTGTGTATTTACCACATTTTCCTTATCCATTTATCTGTTGATGGACACTGAGGTTGATTCCATATCTTGGTCACAAGCCTTATTTTAATTTCAAGATGTGTCCTTGGCCTTGAGAACCAATATTAAAGATCACATGACTAGCTCATAGTTTTAAAGCTGTTTCCAGGGACCAGGCACAATGATAAGTACATGACAGACATTACCTCATTTCAACAACCTGGAAGGAGTTTCCTGTGTTTGTCCCCATTTTGCAGACAAGAAAACTTAGGCACAGAGAGGTCAGGTGGCTTAGTAACCTGCCCGAGTGCACACACTGGTTGAGGTGGGACTGGGGTTTGCATCCAGGTCGATCTGGCTCTGAAGACTATGCTCTTAAAAAAAATTCCAGAATTCCTGTTTGATGTCAGGTTGCCTCTTACCCAACAGAGGGCCAAGAAGAAGAAAAAGAAACAGGCATCAGAAGAATACCCTGAGGACGAGATTGAGGCAGCATCTCCCGAGGAGGATCCTGTGAAGCCCACCCCTCCAGAGCCCGTTGACCGGGCAGTGATAGAGCAACAGGTGAGGAAGAGGGCAGCCCAGAGCAGAAGGAGGCCTGGGGAGCCCACACTGCTCCCGGAGCTGAGCCTGGCAGGGAGCGTGACGCCCAATGACCAGTGTCCCAGGTGAGCAGATGCTGTGACTGCAAATGAGGTTGACATCTGACACACACTTACACGTGCACATGTGCACACACACACACCCTGGAGTATACATCTATTGAGCTACCCCCTATGCTCAGGAGGACCATTAACTCTGTGTAAATATATATTAGGTTGCACCATGTGAAATTGCTGACATTTTTTTACTTTTAGTGATTTCATATGGTTCCCCTACCTAATGCATCCCCACTGGCTACTCAGGAGCACACTGTATAAAGCTGCCTGAAAGAGAAGCATCCCAACTGCAAATCTATGCCTCCTCTTCATAGTGGCTATCTGTGTGGCTTCTGGGTCCCTTATCTGTAATCTCAGTGTGTCTTTTCTGTCCATTAGCATAATGTTCCTTCTCACTCTACAGACACCAAGACTTCCCTTTGCCCCTTGATTTCAGCTGCTCCAGAGGCCAGCTTCTCTCTTTGAAGCCCTCATAGAACCTCCTAGAGGGAGCTGTGGGTTTGCCCTATCGCTTGTATTGAACTCAGGCCATTGGAAGCATACCTTCCAGATTTGACAAAAATGCATTTCTGGTCATTTTTATTTTATGCCTAAGAGAAGCATCACTTTATTTATATAAATCTATACATATAATTAATTTATAAATGCACATTTATATGTTCATCATCTTTTCAAAAATTATAATAAAAACGTTTTTAAAATTTTCCTATATATATCTTTCCTACACCTTATAGCCATATTTCTCAGACTGTAGCCCCAGGATTAGCAGCATTGGCATCACTTGGAAACTGTTAGAAGTGCAAACTCTCAGGTTCTACCTGAGACCTACTGAATCTGAAACTCTGGAGTGGGGTCCAGAAAACTGTTTTCACAAAGGCTCAGGTGATTCTGATGCTTGTTACAGCATATGATTGATTAAAGATAATCCATTAAAATCATCTATACCACCAGCTCCCAGACTTAATTCTCAAGTAAACAGAAGACCGATCAAGAACACAGGAGATATTATAGACTGGAATCTTCAATATTCCAACATAAAAAGTGAGAATTCAAATCCAGTCAGCCTTGAAATTCATTAGGATGTGTGGGTTAATTAGGATGACATTGTTAAGACTTCCTACAGCCTTCCTGGTTTCAAACTTCTGTTAATGATTTACTTATTCTTAACTTGTAGCTTCTTGTGCATTTCCATGTTTTCTGTCACCTTCTTATTTGGGAGCTATATGTAAACTATTCCCCAGTGCTAAATTAACTATTTTCAGACCACAAATACCATACCATATAATTTTGTCATAAACGTTCAAAATATGTGATGATAGATCGTGTTTCTTAAAGGGAAAATGTGAGCTTGATTTGGGCATTTTTTATGGTGAGTCCCATTTTTACTAAGAATGTACACTCTGTAAAAATAAATTACAGAGTTTTCACTGGGATTTGGGACTACAATCCAGGTTTTCCCCAAGCCAATGACTATACTCTCCCCTCTTCATCAGGCACTCAGGTAAGAGGGACTAGGTAGGAAAGGGGGGTGCTTTAGGTCCATCTGCTGCACGAGGTTACTGGGAACAACAGTTCTGAGTGGAGTTCAAGTCTGTGGGTGACTTGAATATTCCTTGCAATTCGATGTTAAATATCTTTTATAGAAAAAAATGCTACAGTCATTTGAGTAACTTCACGTTGGGATAAGTCTAAATTGTAGAGATATAAGAAGTTAAAACTAGCACCCAGTTTAATAAGTAGAGAATTTCTGCTTGAGATGATGAAAAAATTCTTGAGACAAACAACGGTGATGGTTGCACAACATTGTGAATGTACTTAATGACACTGAACTGTAGACTTAAAAAAGGTTAAAATGATAAATGTTATGTTATATATATTTTACCACAATAAAAAGTTTCTCAATAAACTATCACTATGAGCTTATTTTGGATTTTGATGCCCTTCCCTTTTTCTTTCCTTCACAAGCTTGAATTGCTATTGACTTAACCAATAACTGGTGTTTTTTGATTGGCATCTGTGCAAACATATACAGTAAAATTAAAGACCACTCTTAGAAGTTTTCTTTTTTAACTTTCTGGCATAAGAATGATAAGCTTAACTCTTGCAAGGTGGCAGGATAACTTTGTGATTCTAATCATTGTGATTCAAATGATCTTTAAAAATAAGGAACATTTCTAAATACCCTGAATCCATTGAGCAGTCACTTACATCTGAAAATGTTGAGAAAAAGCTTGAGACTTGTAGAAAAGATGTTGGTCTAACTATTATAATATGCTACTATATTTTTACAATAAAACTTCTTACCCAAATATGAGTTAAGTCATTACTGTCCCTTATGATTTGAATTCATTCCATTTAGCAGGGAATACGTTTACATTTACTTAAAACTTTGGGATGCAAATGTAAGGCTTATTTGAACAAAAACTGAGCAGGCTGTAGTATAATGCTTGGGCCATTGTTCTTAAATCCCCTGTGCCCTTTTCAGTGCCTGTTAATGGCTTCTCCATAAGGTCCACATCACAATATTTTATTATAGCATGCTCTGCAAGACCTGTGGCTATTTTGGTTAAATAAGGGATAACGTGACTGACAGAGTTGCCTCTGGTATATCTTGTTCTGCTCAGTGCCCATTCGTCAAATACTCAAGCGATCCTTAGTAAATTAATAGTAATCCCACCTGTGACTGGTCTTGTTTTGCAGGGCGGAGGTCTCCCGAAGGGAAGATGTAAAGAGGCGCTCAGTGTATTTAAAGGTGCTCTTCAACAACAAGGAGGTGTCCAGAACAGTCAGTCGGCAACTAGGAGCAGACTTCCGAGTTCATTTTGGACAGATTTTCAATTTGCAAATATTCAACTGGCCAGAGAGTTTAACACTTCAGGTACACATATTATTTACAGTTGCTGTCCCAAGACTCTTTTGGTGATTGCAAGTGTGAGATAGTTTTAAATCATTCGTTGGCTATGCTGGTATCTTGATAGATTCTCAAAGGGAGCAAGTCAGCCTCTTTCTTGGTGCTTCTGTTCTTAAAGTCTTGGTGGGAGGAGTCCGTTATCCCATGTGTCTTCTGAGAAGGCTGGCAGAATAACTCTGGCCACAGTGCTCAAGTATGGTGCCTTGAGATAGGGGAGGGGGGATGAAAGATGGTAGGAGAAAGGGGGATCTCCAGCTCATTCATTGAAGAAATACTTCAGTATCACCTCTCCCAGGACCCAGCATCATCTAACAAAGAACTCAATTATGCCACAACTGCAGGTGGTTATTATTGGGGGAGGGGATACAGATGCTAGGATCCCCCCTTAATTAATAAATCTCCCCGCTAGTCTAAATCTCACCATTAGCAATATATTTATTTGTGTCTATTTTAGTTTCCTGGGGCTTCCATAACTAAGCACCACAAACTTGGTGGCTTAAAACAACAGAAGTTTATTCATTCACAGTTGTGGAGTCCTGAAGTATGAAATCAGGGTGTGGCGTCAGCAGGGCCACCCTCCCTCCACAGCCTCTAGAGGAGAGACTTCCCTGCCTCTATCCGCTTTCTGGTGGCTCTTGGAGTTCCTTGGTCTCTGCCTCCATCTTCACATGGCCTGCTCTGCATCTCTGTGTGTCCTTTTTCGTCTCTTAATAAGGACACTGATAGAGTTTGAATATGTTGCTCCCCAAAAGCTCAAGTTGAAATCTGATCCCCAACTTGGCAGTGTTGGGAGCTGTTTGGGTCATGGGGGCAGATCCCTCAAGAATAGATGAATGCCTTTCGGGAGGGACAGGTAGTGAGTTCTCGCTCTAGTAGTGCCTGTGAGAGCTGATCGTTTATTTATTTATTTATATTTTTGCTGGTAACATCAGTTTTGTTGGGTTGAGGCAGCAACTATAGCCTGGCTGGGGGCAGGCCAGCCATCACAGGTTGTTGTGTTCCAGCAGGGTCTGGTCCAGTGCCTGGTGAGTCTCCACGTTTTCCTCCTTGGCACTGGCCAAGGTCTCTTGCAGGTCGTCAATGGTTTTCTCCAACTTTGCCACAGACCTTTTGACAAACTCTGCTTGGGTCTCAGCCTCTTTCAGCTTCTCCTCCAGCAGTTTGATCTCTTCTTCACATTTATCCTCTTTGATGGAATAAAGGGCCCTGGCACCACCCACCCAACCCCTACCCCCAATCTTGCTTCCTTTCAGCTCGTGATCTGTTTGTAGCCCACGGGCTGCCCTGACACTTTCCACCAGGTGAGAAGAAGCAGCCCCGAGGCCTGCTGTAGATGCATCTATCCCAGAGTCATAAGCCAAATGCACCTCTTTTCTTTATAAATTACCCAGTCTCAGGTATTCTGTTGTAAGCAACAGAAACGACTAATTCAGAAACTTTCAGGGCCTAACCTAATCCACTATGATCTCATCTCGACCCTTAGCTAATTACATCTGCAAAGACCCATTTCCAAATTAGGTCACATTCTGAAGTTCTGTGTGAACATCAGTTTTTGGAGGATGCTGTTCAACCCACTGTACTGTCTTCAGGCTTGTTTGTTCTTTTGGTGAATCCTCTCTTATGATGCCAACAGATTCCTTTCTTGTGATTCTAATGGGCATGTTTACTAGGGCTGCAAATCTGTGGCATGCATGCCCTTGCTTTTCCCATCCACCACCAGGCAGAAATCACTAAACTTCATCCATCACTTATGCAGAAATTTCTCATTCCCATTCACTACCCTTTCCAGTAATGAATTGGCCATGCCCTTTTTTCTCCACTGAGTCTGGACATAACTTCAGAATCCTTCTCAACACAATTCTCTAGGCAGCCACTACCTTTTGATTGTAATTAACATTAAGTCTGTGGGGACCATTACAGATGTATAATTAATAAAATATTTACATACTTCTGTACTGAATGGTAAATAGCTGTTGCCCTAACCGACCCCCCTGCCCCCACCAAGATGCCACCCTGGCCACATAGACCCCACTTCCAAGAACCCCTGGATTTCCCACAATTAACTAATTAAAGGAGGTGGCTGACCTAGGTCACTTCACAACACTGTACCCAAGCTGTGATGGACAGCTCTTCTGACTGGTTAGTGCCTTTCCCTGTGTTGTTCAACATTTTGAATATCCACCCCTGCCTAGACCTCAGTAGTTAAAAACCTTCTAAAACTGGTAGAGGGAGTTTGAGACAGCTAAGATGGAAAATGCTTTTGACAGTGGGAAGGAAGCATCATAGAAATGCTTGGAATGGAAGGATGGGAGCTAAGAAATGGGAGGGGGACCTTAAAGGGCTAGCACCGGGCACCCAAGGTCAATCGCCTCAGCTTGGGATTTTTCCAGAGCCTGTGGCAGTTTCTGTCCCATACCTTTTCATCTGTGATCTGGGGGTGGATGTGGCTAGAGGGTGACCCTCATTTACAAAGCATCTCGAGCATTAAGACTCAAGCCAAATTCCTTTGCTGTACTGAGAACAGCATTCATATCTGCACAATGAGAGTGAAAACATTTTTCTTGAAATTTTAGAACTTGGTTTAGTTCAGTCACTCATATAATTCTTTAAAACACCATCTAATTTTTAAAAAAATGCTTATGTATTCTAGAATTTGAAAAAAATGAAACTTATTTTGCTGCTAACTTACCATTAATATGGATGACAGGAGAAAGCAAGTACATTTTTTAAAAGTAAAGGATGGTATTAGAAAGGGGATTGAATTTGGAGGTTTGGCAAATATTTGAGATTTCCTTAAACCTGAAAATTCCCTTTCTGAATATCTTCCGTGGGAAAATAATCTCTTTATAAATTTCTACTCACCCCAGCTTGATTCATAACTCTGAATAGATACAGAGAGTGAAATGAGGTGATTGTGTCTGACATAAGAGCGGAGAGCCGCCCAGCTCTGCACTAGAAAGGAGGGCTGAGGTGGCCTCCAGATGGGAGATTGGTGGCACAGCCAGTACCGATGGATGCCTGTGCTCTCAGGTCCACCTGGACTCCTCGTCCATCTCCTCTGGGGCTCCTGCTGAGGCTGATGGTCTGGAATACCTGAAGGGCTGCTCTTCTCTGTCCTCTTAGCAAAGCAATGGCTGAGTGGGCCCTGTCACCCTCTTACTGGATTTCAACTAATCCAGTCACCTCATCGCCACTCACTGTGAGATGCACCCTTCTCTGAGCCACCTAAACAGGATGCACCATCAACAGAATGACACAATCCAATTTCAGATATGTTAAAATGGAGTGTTCTTTATACCACTAATACCTGGTTAAGAGCAGCCTTTCTTAGCCAGGGATTCCCTGCAGAGGCCCCGGGGGCAGTACCCTCTGGATAGCGTGGGGTTTTGGAACAATTAAAATCTGAACGCCTTTGTGGGGAGACTTGCATTCTGCCAGTTCTAAAGTCCCACATCTTCACTGCTTCCCACATTAACCCCCCTGTCCCACCCCAAACCCATTCGCTTAAGCTAAAGCTTGAGATAAAACTTACAGCAAACACCCAAAAATGTCTAAATTAAGAGTAAAACTTGATCGAGAAGGTATATACAAACTTGAAGCCCAGTTGATGCTTTTCTGTCACCTGCCCTAACATAGGAGGAGTTGCTGGGGGCCAGCATAGAAGCTTCCCCTTTTCTACATTTCAGAGAACAGCAAAGATTGCGGTATTCAGGGTTCTGCCTCCTAGAGTGAGATTCCTCCTTAACTGGTCCTCTCCGTTCCTCCCCTGCAGAGGACAAGCTGATGTGAGAAAGACCGAGATTAACTGAGAAGACCAGATAGACAGCTAGAGCAAAGCCAGGGGAGCTGCACACGGCACCATGACAGGCAGGAAAGCGAGGGGGCCTCAGCAAGGAGATCCCCACCAAAAAAGTCAGGAAGGTGGGAGAGATGGCAGGAAGGTCCTCCCCTCGCACAGGCACCAGCCTTTCCTGCTGACTGATGAGCGCTCAGACCATCCAGGCAGTTTGTGAAACCCACTCCCGCTATGGGCAGTTGGAAGTTTTCTGAATTTGTTTAGAAGGAGAAAAATATCTTCTGCATCCCGCCAGCACACCTATATTTTATTTCACATATATTCTAAAATAAAAGCAAAGCCTCCAACACTACCTCCTGTTTACTATCTTGAATATTAGCTTGCTGTAGATGTTGCAATCAGCAATCAAAACATTTAAAAAAAAAAAAAAAAGGAATGTGAAAAGGGTAATTCTCAGAAATACTATGAAATGAATTTTTTAAACAAAAAAGCAAGATTTTCTCCTGTACTGCCAGGAATATACTCATAGGCAATTAGCTTGGCCCTAAGAACTGAATTGTGTGAACTTTTTAAAAAAATTATAAATTGAGGGAGTCTTGGCTAACTTCTTAAGCTATTTTTACATAACTGATAACTGATCAAATCACATATCACAATGGCGTAATGGCATGATTTTTTATGATTGAGTAGCAGCCACAGATGAAATTAATTTAGTGAATATTGTATTTCAAGTCTCTGGGAATTGTACTATGCTATTTGGAAATTTTCCATCTAATGACTACTTTTGAATTAGGGAAGTTTCAAGAATTACTGGCAACTTTAAGAGGGTAAGAAAAAAATCACCTTAAATGCATCTATTTATGCCAGTGCCCTCAAATTCTTAACTTTAGGGCCTAATGTGTTTCAGAAAATATTATGAGATTCTCAAAACAATAACACATCCATTAATGACTCAGCAACCAAGTCATGAATATTTGCTGCTTGTATATTAGTCCATTTTTGTTGCTTATAACAAGATACCTAGAACTGGGTAATTTGTAAGAAAATGATATTTATTGCTTACAGTTGTGGAGGCTGGGAAGTCCAAACATTTACGGTGAACATTCTCTGGTGGTGGCCCCACAGCAACCGAGGGGTCTCACGTGGCAGAAAATGGTGGAGCAGAGAGAGA